CTTGCTTATCTCATAGGTTTTGTCAACAACAACTACTTATTATGCCACAACACTGGGGCCTTTTGCATTTTGGCTGTGCTGGCTTATGGAAGCAGACGTACATAGACTGTCTACACTCTCAAACCATGTGTCTGATTTATGGAAAGGTGTGTCAGTGTATGAGTCCGTTTTCTCTTGCTGTAACTGAATACTACAGACAGGGTAATTTATAAAGAATAGAGGTTGATTTAACTCATGGTTCTGGAGGCTGGGAAGTACAGGATCAGCAGCTGCATCTCATGAGGGCCTTCTTACTATGTTATCTCACAACGGAAGAGTAGAAGGGCAAGCAAGTGTGTGTGAAAGAGAAAGCCCAAGGGGCCCATTCTTGCTATAACTAACCCATTCATTCATGCGGGTGGGGCCCCATGACCTAATCACTTCTTAAAGTCTCACCTCTCGCCCTGTTAGAATGACAATTACGTTTCACCTTGAGTTTTGGAGGGGACATTCAAATCACAGCAGGCTGATTATGAGGAATCAAGATAAAATAGCCAGGGCCATATAGGAGTGCCTGTCACATTCTCATAAAGGAAGGTCATTAAATGAACTGGGTTTTGAAATGTCAGAGAGTGAAGGAGTAAGGGAGCATTACCTGAAGAGAAAGAAGAAAACAAGAGGGCTGGGCTCTCTGTGTAACAGCAGCATTGCTGCAATGCTGGGAGGAAGAAAGGTGAAAGGGTCCTACCCAAGGAAGACAAAAGAGAAGATCTTTCGCTCTTCTGTTTTCACTGTCCCTTTGTTTTCTCACCACAACCCACACAATATTTTTTAAGGGTCCCCTTTTTATTGAAAAATCTTGTGCCATTTGTGGAAAGGAGAATGTGGCCTTCTAAGTTACACTGAGGGAAATGCTGATCTCTTCTCTGCATGTTGGGCAGGGCCTGGCCTGCAGGCAGCTGAATCCCCATGGTTGGTTTTGAGTGGTACTTCCATGTGTTTGTTCAGCCGTCTTCACAGTCCCTTGAAGGTGTCACTGTCTTCATTTTTTCAGATAAAAAAGTAGACACCACGTGATGATGTGCCCAAGATGACACAGCTACAGAGCAGCAGAGACAAGACCCAAACTAAGGGCCTACAAACTTCCAGTCCAGGGAACCCACAAACCAAAATGTGGAGTATGAGATGAGTGGAGATGCTGCAGTTTCCTGGACTCGACGCCTGTAGGCCCTTAGTTTGAGTCTTATCGCTGCTGCTTTTTAGCTGTGTGATGGAACAGGAGGTTCAGGCTCCTATTCTAATTGCAGAGCTCGGGGGCATGAGAGGAGATTATCCAATGGCACATGGAGCTGCCACGAGGACACTCTGCTGCTGACCACGGTCATGCTGACAGAATTCCTGGATACACTTGTCCTCTAACTTGCGATTTCAGTGACAAAGGAGACTTAAAAATGGAAATGGCCTGTGATCTCATGGAATAGAGTGTGGTGTGGCCACATTATACACTTATTGTTGGCCTAGTTGTAGTGTCCAGGGTCCAGCTACAGAGATTTCTTCTTAGTTTCTGAAGATACTAAGCATTTCCTGATTTTCAAAGAAGCATTTCTCCACCTCACATCATTAGGAGAGCTACTGTAAAAACAGACAAACAAGCTGGAGAAGAACAAGTGCTGGTGAGGATGTGAAGAAACTGGAACCCTTGTGTGCTGTTGGTGGGAATGCAAAAAGTGCAGCTGCTGTGGAAAACAATATGGCAGTTCCTCAAAACATCAAACATTGAATTGTCATATGACTCAGAAATTCCACTCCTGGGTAAATATGCAAAAGAACTCAAGTAGTTTCCAAGAGATGTTTGTACACCTGTGTTCACAACAGCACTATTTACGACAACCAAAAGGTGGAGGTAACCCACGGATGAGTGGATAAGCAGAATGTGGTGTATGCAAGCGGTGGAATATTATTCATCCTTCAAAAAAAGAGGAAATTCTGGCATAGGCTGTCACATGGGTGAGCCTTGAGGATATTCTGCTCAGTAGAATAATCTAGCCATAAAAGGAAAATCCTATAGGTTTCCAGTCATAGAAGGAACATGGAGCGGTCAAATCCATAGCGAGAAGAAGTAGAGTGGTTGTTGACGGGGGCCAGGGAAAGGGAAGTCTGGGGTTGCTGTATAATGGGGCAGAGTTTCAGTTTTACCAGCTGAGGAGAGTTCTGGATGTGGCTGGTGGTGGTGGTTGCATAGCAATGTGAATGTGCTTAATGCCAATGAATTGCACTTAAAAATGATGAGAATGATACGTTTTATGTGTCTTTTACCACACATGCTAAAGAGGCATTGTGAGGATGGGTATTATTTGAGGACATCACAAGCACTTAGTGGAATGTTCTGGAAGCCCCTGAGAGTCTCAAAATGGATTTCACAGCCCCCAGCCACACCCACAAGCAAATGCAGAGTCCTCTTATTGTCCTGATCTTTAAGAAAATCGAAAGCGTTTATTTTATTACTGGCAGAAATGATCATGAGAAGACAGACGACAAGCTTTCTCTAGCTGTTGCCCAGTAGGTTTTAGAAAGAGAAACAACTAGCGGAGTTTCCCAGCCGATAGCATTGCCTCTGTACGGAGAAGAAATTCATTCCTCCCGTGGAGACTGAAGCTCCCAGCGGTCCTTCCTGGATCTGCCAGAATTCTGACCATGCTGATTTGCATGGCTCTCAGACATGACGGTGCCCTTGCCTCATCACAACAAGTGAGTCACAGCAGAAAAGAAACTGGAACTTGCTACTGGCAGCAAAACAGTCGTGGTCCTGAGACTCGCCACTCACCGTCTGTCCACACTTCCCTTTTGAGTCATTTCCTTATTCAGAGACAATAACCTGGAGAAAATAAGACCCTTGCTATCTCATCTCCTTGAAGAAGAAACACCATCTGTGTGCAGTGCTGTGGATGCTCCTTTGATGCTATGGGGCTGGACACGTGAGAAATATCCCCAGAGGTGGTGGCCACTCACGTGATCCTCAGCCTCCTGAGGGACAAGAAAAGTCCCATTTCATAGATGTGAGAAGCAAAATGAGGCACATGGAAGGACCACAGAAGATCCCAAAAGGATCTGCTACCCAAGAAGAATGATAATCAACCTTTGATTTCACAGAACTTGTCAACTTCCAGTTCATAAAACACCCTTCCCATGCCAGGTTCTGTGTTGAGAATACAGAGGGGAAAACTATGTCCCCAAAGGCCCCACAGTCTGGTTGGGGAAGTAAGCAATGAAAATAGAATTGTGTGATCACTGAAAAACAGCAAATTAGTATTTACTGAACGCTTATGACATACCAGGCTCTGTGCTAAATGTTTTGTGCTATTTTACCGCATCCCCACCATAATCCCACAAGGTACATTTTTATCCCCATTTTACAGAAGGGGAAAGTTGAGAGTAGTGAAGTGATTTGTCCCGGGTCACAGAGCTAAGAAGTGATGGGGCAGGATGTTGTTGCCCAGGCCCTGAGCCACTCACCCGGTGAGTCTCAGACTTGGCTGCCCATGGATAGAATTAATGAGGGGACTTCAGACCTACCAGGGCCCAGGCTCCTCCCCAGGCCAAGTGAACCAGAACACCTGGGGCTGGCCGAGGTATCAGGGCCTCCTAAAAGCTCTGGACCCCCTAGGCTTGCAGCACTGCATCAGGCACACCTGTGAGCAGAGTGGAGGGCGGCCAGCTCCACCCAGGCGATGTCAGAAAGAATTCGAGAGACAGCAGTGTGGAGCTGAGACCTCCCCAGAGACAGGGGATTTCGCCCAAGCTAAAAATGCATGCAGTGAGGGCAGAGCGTACAGAAAGTCGCAGCATGCTGGAGAAAAGACAGTGCACCCCTAGGGAAAAAGGCATAGATCACGGCGTTTGGGAGAGTTGGTAGCCCCATGAAGTCCCCGTGCAGAGTGCTGACCTGCAGAGCCTTTCCTGTGAGTGGAGGGGTGGGCTGTATCCCTCCTGTGGGGGTCTATTCCTGCAGGGCGCCTGTCCCCATCTGTGGGGGTCTGTTCCTACAGGGCGTCTGTCGGGGGGTCTAATCCTACAGGGCGTCTGCCAGGAGGTCAACTCCTACAGGGCGTCTATCGGGGGTCTAATCCTACAGGGCGTCTGCCAGGGGACCATGCCACTTCACTGCGTGGATTCCACCTGCGCAGAGTTACGGATCTCAACATCCAACAGCAGAAAAACAGTTAAGAAACACCCATGGTGTAGACTATTGTGTAACCATGCAAAGAATGCTTATGGGGGATTTATTATGATATAAAAAATGATTCTGTTAAATGTTAGGTTTTTCAAAGCGGCATTTAAAATTTATATATGCGTTAAGATCAGGGGGAGAAAAACGAAGATATTTCTTTTCTGTTTCAAGGGGAGAAAACAGGCACAGCGTAGAACATGTCCACCTTAAAGAATTTTATTCAGCCATCTCACAACTATCTGGTCACTGTTCCTTTCTTAGCCCTTTGAAATTCTTTTAACTTAGGAGGAAATAAAACCTCAGACAGTAGCAAAGTAATGCTGGTAGAATTCCAAATGATACTCCTTTCGTTAGGCAGATTTTTACATCCTTTCTTAGAACAGGCGGAACCCACTCCCGCATTTCAAATTTGGTTCTGATAAGGAACCTCCCTGGCAAGCCGTCAGCTCTGCAGATGGGAGATTTGCCATTTTCTGTTGCCTAAAGCCATCATTTTTGGCCTCGAATTTGACAGAAAGCTTGGGACTACCCCTGTGGGATAATCGAAGGCATCAAAACACCATAGAACTGATATTTAGTACAAAAGTGTTGTATCGTGTTAGGAGATAAAGAATAGCTTCTGCACACGAATAACAGGAGTGCAGCTGCAGGGAGGCTGAAGGGAGGCTCAGGAGGCCCATGTCGGTGACAAGGCAGGCCTTCCACCTCCTCTGGGCATGGTGGTGACTGCTTTTTGGTCCTAAGCAAACTTCGAGGTTTGAGCAGAGAATGAGAGATAAGGCAACAAGGAAAGTGACTTTGGAAATCTTTTATCATCATCATGAGACTCAGTTTTGGAACACAATTCACAAGGAATGAGATGAAAAGATGGAGCCATTGTAACGGCATCCAGGGGCTGGGGTTGGACACCTGCCCAGCTTCACACTGTGGCCCATGGAACCCTGGCAGGTCCCGTGTACCGTTGTCCACCAGCTGTGCCAGCGGGGTTAGAAATGACCATTTCAAACGCCACGAGATATCTTACATTTTGTACTTCTCCCAGGAGGCATAAAGTTCTGTGACCCTTTTTTCACATCAGGGGAAGCAAAGTACATTTCAAAAGCCTTTTAGGCATTCAAACTTAAAAAGCAGCTCTAGAGGCAAATTCCAGAAATGTATCAGGAAAAAGTTTCTTACAGTAAACTAGAGAACTCACTACATTTTCCTTAACATGATGTATAATCTAGAAAAATGAAGCAAAATTTTATGAAAACAAAAACGTTATGCTCCAAATAAAGCCTAGCATGGACAACAGTACCTTATAGACAGCAGAGCCTCCTTTTAGAACCAGGGCACTTTCTGATGTCGGTCATCCCCAGTCTGCATAGCAGGTGAGAAGAAAACATAGCTTTTTTTGCATTTAAAACTGAAGCACAGTAAATGAAAGTGACTTGCTGAGACCAAGTAGAGTTGGAAAGATGCCAGCACCTGGCTTTCTTCTCTTCCTTCACTGATTTAGCAAATTACATTTCTTCAAGTGTGGAGATGCAGTAGCTGCCCGACTTTTCAGTTCAGCGACTGGATCTGCATCATAGTTGGGTAGGAGGAGGTTCTGGCTTGTTCATTTTGATTTGTCACTCTACAAGGTAAAATCACAGAGGACCATCCCGGTCAACAAAGTATAAGACCACACCTGCAGCAACTGTGCCCATGTTTATGCTCTGATCCTTGTATTGCAGTCTCAAGATTTCCTCTTCTTCCAGAATCCCAAAGTAGGGGTGATTATGATTTAGGTCTCAGGTAGTTTCATAAACACGGGCGTTGAGGACGCTGGCTGTTGTCAGGAATAGGAGTCTCTGGGGTTGAAACCTGGGGGCTCTGCTGCCTGCCCTTTGCCTCGGAGGGTGTGGAAGACCCTCCGATAGGAGCTCCTGAAGGTGGGGCTGGAGAAGCAGTACACCACGGGGTTGAGCACACTGTGCAGGTAGGTGAGGCTGCCCGTGACTTCCGAGGTATGAGCCACTGCGCACAGGGCCCTGAAGCTCCCCAGATTCTGGAAGATGTGCATCAGGACTCTGGTCAGGAAGCAGGGCAGAAAGCATAGAGTAAACAGCACCACCACCACGGTGACCAGTGCCTGGGCCCGCCGAAGCTTGGGCTGTTTCTCAGGCTCCCGGAGTCTTTTCTGGAGAGCTCTGATGATGCCTGCATTGCAGAACACGATGAGGCCAAAGGGGAGGACAAACTGAAGGCAGGAGAGTGCTTCCTGCCAGACGACGCTGAAGGAGCCATCTGCCGTGGGGTAGAAACTGTGGCACCTGGTGAAGTTCTGGGCGGCCTCAGAGATGAGCAAGCCTGGGCAGGTGAGGGCGACCATCAGGAGCCAGACGAGGCCCGAGACCCCCAGGGCCGCCCGAGGAGACAGCAGGTTGACCTTAAGCTGACGGTGGACCACACGGAGGTACCGGTCCAAGGCCACGGCGGCCAGGAAGGCCACCCCCACGCCGCGGCTGAGGTCCAGCAGGAAGCGAAGGGCCCAGCAGCCCACGTGGCCCAGATGCCAAGCCTGGAGGCTCAGGTAGAAGATGGCCAGGAACGGCAGACACGAGGCCAACAGCAGGTCAGCCAGGGCCAGGTTGAGCAGGTAGACGGCATACGGCTTCCACACCCTGACCCGGAACAGGAAGGTCCACAGCGCCACCGCGTTGCCCAGCAGACCCAGCCAGCACTCCAGCCCCAGCAGGACACCCACAGCTGTGGCCACCACAGTGTTGGGGGCTGAGCAGTTTGGGAACGGCATCACCTGGCTGTGCTGGGCTGCAGGCATCGCTGGAGCAGATGCAGGAGGAGCTCTGTGCTCTTTCTTACAAAATGAAAGAAAAGGCCTTTTCCTGCCACAGAGTAGGCAAGATCTACATTTCCCCATCAAGAACAGTTCCTCAGCCAAACAGGGTTCACAGCAAACCAAAATTCATTTGGGGAAAGAGGACGAGCAGGGGAGGGAAAAGCCCCTGGCTGTTGTGTTCTGTTTTCTTCCGCCATAAGAAAGGGGAAATCGTGTTTCGCTTCACATCACCAGGCTGCAAAGCTGAGGAGTAACGTCCTACGACGTCTGGGGGACCAGGGCTTTGCATCCAGTTACGAAAGAAGGAAAGGTTTAACTATGCAAAGACCCCTATGTCTGTATACAATTAAAATAACAATGGAATCAAAAAGATTGTTCTCTACTTTGAGTATGTTTCACGGGGAAATGTTCTTCTTCCTTTTCATACGTAAAGGACGCTTGCTGGAATCCTTCTGCATGGGACTTGATTTTACACACTGGTCAGATGTGGTCTCCCCATTTACTTGAAAGGGGAATTGAGACAACCTGCTCATTCCATAGTCCATGGTTTCATTTGTACTTCTATTTTGTTAAATACAAATTTATCTTATTTTCTCTGCTGGAGTCTTTTCTGCCTAGTATACTACTTGGATTGGGATCTGGACCAGCAGGGCCTGGAGTGGGCTCTGGAAGCATGGAAAAATCAATGGCTTGTAAAGATGCATAGAATCCACTAGAAAGTTAGGTTCGTCAGCCAGGGACATACTCCACATATCCATGTGTCGCTAGTGACAAACGACGCCTGGCACACAGCATTATCAACAGGTATTTCTTGGATGAATAAATGTGTGCAGTCATCGTTACCCTCTGGTGACCCTAATACATCTCAGTCCTTATCCATCGATAACACTATTATGCTTGGTTCTCACCCAATGTTGAACCTAATTTACCTTGGTCCTTACCCACTATTGACCCTAATTCATCTTGGTCTTCACTCAATGTTGACCCTACTTCATCTTGATCTTTTCCCACTTTTGATCTTACTGCATCTTGGTCCTTACCCAGTGATGATCCTAATTTATCTCAGTCCTAACCATTCTTGATCCTACTTCATCTTGATCCTTACCACCTGGTAACCCTACTTCATCGTGAGTCTTACCCCTGTTGACCCTAATTTATGTTGGTCCTCTCCCACTGTTGACTCTAATTTATCTTGGTTCCATTCAGCCTGGTTTGAATTTTGGAGTTTAGTAAACTTTAGTTATAATTTTTGTTTCTCCACTTATTAGCAGTGTGGTTTTGGGAAAGCAAGTTAACTTCTCTGTACTCCAAGTTCTTCACCTGAGAGGTAAAGATGGTAACACTTCCTTGCAGAGTTCTTTTGAGTAGTCAAGGTACTGTTACGGGTAAAGCACTTAGAGCCATGTCTGGGCATTGTGAGAGCTTGATGCTTCTACTAGAATATTTATTAATGCCTCTCTGAGGCATAGGCTTAAAAAAACTATTCTTATTATCTCCAAACACGATAAAACACTTTTGTATGAAATATCAGTTCTATGGTGTTTTGATGCCTTCAATTATAAGATCCAAGTTTAAGACTTTAATAATTATTATTACTAAAGTATACTGCATGTTTATTGCATGTCAATAATTGTTAGTGCTGGCCTAAGTTATTTCAATGAACCAAACAATAGTGAGATGAAGTAGATACAATGTGAAGCTCTATTTTATGAATAAAGAAATGGAGGCATGGTAAGATTAGGTAATTTGCTCAAGGTCACAGGCAGGTAAGTGGTGGGACCAGGACCCTCCCAGCCCAAATTTCAACCAGAACTGGGTTCATAGCTTCCCTATAGTCCTATGGCTAATGGGTTACGCTTCACTCCTTTTCAAGTCCCACAGGGCTGTGAATTTGTATGATATCGAGGTAATTTGACTTGCATTCTTCTTGCTTTCATTATTCTGGTATTTTTAAAAATGAGACTACCAGCCCACATATCATCCCATTTCTGTGTCATACAAATCCGCGTGCCTTTTCGTTTTCTAAGGAGGTGAATTTGGAGAGCCCTCCAAGCATCTGGAATTGTGGAAATGTCCCAACTAGTCTCTGCACAGTGACACCTTCTATGAATGAGGATCTCTGGTTGCATGCTCATTACGACTTGGTTCTTGGAGAGCAAGAGGATGGAGCACAGCACTGACCTTTGGGTGGTGTGGTTAGTCTCATTTGGACGAATGTTGTCAGGCACAAAATGACCCTCAGAAAAGCTGGCAGCAAATTCAACTCTTTAGTGCTTAAAGTTTCATAAATGCAGGACAGAAATGGATTGAAATATATCTCTTGCAACACATTAAAAACTTTAACAGACATTAAAAACTACTCCTTAATTTCAGATTTCAGTTTATACCAATAACTTCCTAAATTATAAATATTTTAGCTCAACTGGCATGTGAACATTAATAATTACATATTTTCCTTTTTAAAAACTTCTGCACCTTTTTGAAGTATTTTGATTCATCTTCTTAACTTCTGAAAGACACTAAATTGTTTTTTCAGACCATCTCTTTTAAAGTTATAATATTTGAGCTTCTCCCTTAGGGATTTTGATTTATTAAACCTTATCACCCCTAGAGACTATTTTCAGTCATTACTACTATTTCTTCAATACTCTACTTGTTTAGGAAACTTCTTTGTGCTCATTTCAATTTTTATGATGTATATTTTATTTACACGTGTGCCTAACTTTAAATGAAAACTAAATTATTGCTTAAACCCACACATACATTTAAGAGTTTTTTGTTTGTTTGTTTGTTTGTTTAGAGACAGGGTCTTGTTCTGTTGCCCAGACTGGAGTGCAGTGGCACTATCATAGCTCACTGTAATCTCCAACTCCTAGGCTCAAGGGATCCTCCTGCCTCAGCCTCCTGAGTAGTTAAGACTACAGGTGTGTGCCACCAGACTCAGATACAGAAATTTAATTCTCTGCATTTTTTCTTTCTAATTTTTCTGTTATATCTTGTAATAATCAGAGAGATGGTTATTCATAAAGACTGAATGAATACTCAGACTTAGATTCTCCTGCTACTTATTGCGAAGTTAGCCCGCTGTGAGGTCTAGGGAGACAATACAGTTCCCACAAGACCACCTTCTGCCTGACATTAACTTGAAATTTGGGGATCCCCAAGACCACTCTCAGGTTAGATAATTCTCTAGAAGGACTCACAGAACTCACAGGAAGCTGTTACATTCTTAGCTATATCTTTTTTTTACAGTGAAAAGACACAGGTTAAAATCAGCCAAGGGAAGAGGTGCATGGAACAGAGCCCAGGATAATTGTAAGCATGGGGCTCTTTTTGCTGTGTTTTTGTCCTTTTGCTGTGAGTCAGGACAGTGTTACTTTCTCAGTATCGATGGATGACAGTGCCCAGACCACTGCCACGCTGCGAAGCTCACCTGGGTCTCCTCATCCAGAGTCTTTACTGGAGTCCCTCACCCAGGCATAGCTGGCCACCTGTGAGGCTGTCTTTAGTCTCCAGCTGCTCTGGGGGCTGAGCCAAGGCTGCAGGACCAAAGCCCCCACCCTAAACCACATTATTACTGTCTGTCTAGCTGAGGGTCCCCAGGCAAACAAAGACATCTCCATTGGGCATGACATCCTAAAGCCTGGGAGATGACCTCCTGGCTACTGAGGGCCAGGATCAGACCTCTTTAACTTTGCCTTTTGGGAAAAGTTAAGCTCTTTTCTTATTTACTCAACAAATTTAGAACACATTGCATGTTACTCATTTCATACTGAGGATACAAATGCTTATAGTGTTACCAGAAAGGGGTCCAGATCCAGACCCCAAGAAAAGGTTCTTGGACCTAGTGCAGGAAAGTATTCAGGATGAATTCATAGAGTAAAGTGAGAGCAACTTTATTAAGAAAGTAAAGAATGGCTACTCCATAGGCAGAGCAGCCCCAAGGACTGCTAGTTGGCTATTTTTATGGTTATTTCTTGATTATATGCTAAAAAAGGGGAGGATTATTCATGATTATTCCTCCCCTTTTTAGACCAGATGGGGTAACTTCCTGATACTGCCATGGCATTTGTAAACTGTCATGGCACTGGTGGCAGTGTCTTTTTAGCATGCTAATGCATTATAATGAGCATATAATGAATAGTGAGGATGAGCAGAGCTCACTTTTGTTACCATCTTGGTTTTGGTAGGTTTTGGCCAGCTTCTTTACCACATTCGTTTATCAGCAAGGTCTTTGCAGCCTGTATCTTGTGCTGACCTCCTATCCCATCCTGTGACTAAGAATGCCTAACCATCTCGGAATGCCATCCAGTAGGTCTCAGCCTTATTTTCCCCAGCCCCTATTCAAGATGGAGTTACTCTGGATCAAACGCCTCTGACAATAGTACACTCTGACTTTAAGGGGCTTATGTTCTAGTGGGAAAGACGAATGTGGGAACAGACTTGTAGAGAACAATATGATACAACTAGCTAGAAGGTGCCCCTGCAGTGGGGGTGGGTGTTATGGAGAGAGGTGTCATGGAGAGAGGAGAATGAAGAGATGTCAGCTAGGGGGCCGAGGGAAAGGGGAAGCTCTGGACAGGGAATGTCCAGTTGGGCATAAGGAAGGAGACCACCCCTCATATCATCTTGTGCCCAATTTCTGCCTCCAAAGAAAGAAGAAGTAAAAACTAAAAGGCAGAAATGAAATCCACAGGCAGACAGCCCGGTGCCACACCCTGGGCCTGGTAGTTAAGGATTGACCCCTGACCTAATCGGTTATGTTATCTATAGACTACAGACATTGTATAGAAATGCACTGTGAAAATCCCTATCCTGTTTTGTTCCGATCTAATTACTGGTGCATGCAGCCCCCTGTCACATACCCCCTGCTTGCTCAATCAATCATGACCCCCTCACACGCACCCTCTTCGAGTTGTGAGCCCTTAAAAGGGACAGGAATTGCCCACTCAGGGAGCTTGGCTCTTGAGACAGGAGTCTTGCCGATGCCCCTGGAAGAATAAACCCCTTCCTTCTTTAACTCGGTGTCTGAGGAGTTTTGTCTGTGGCTCACCCTGCTACACTTAGGCAGTATTTGAAGGACTCCTATGGGTATAGGGAACATACTGGGGAAAGCAAAGACACAGTGTTTTTCTTAGAACTTGAAGAAATATTTGTAATTGGTTTTTGGAAGAAGAAGTAAAGTATGGAACACCATAATTTAAAATGAGATACTAAATTGTACTCTTGGTTATAAAAATTAAAACACTCTCCTCATGTTGCAGAAACAGGAAGATCCATGGAAGAGAAGAAAAAGGCAAATAAAGTTGAGAATGTGGAATATGATAAAGGTGCCTCCATGTGCATTGTACTTGTTTTAAAGAATGTATTCTGCACATTGTTTTCTGTTCCACAATACAGAATTACAGATGCTCTTCCAGGTGGCAGACCCGAGTCAGCCAGGAACTGTCAACCTGGAGATGAGGTGCCTCGCTGGGTGGCCTGTGCATCATGTGTGATGAGGGAAGTGCCCCTGCTGTCACTCAGTCATGAATTCCTGCACATGGTGGGTTCCAGCAGTCAGGCAGAGGCCATCATCAAAATTGTTTTGCTTTGTATTAAATTAAACTCTAGAAAGAGTACAAGGTCAGGAAAGGCAGTCATCAAGGCCGTCGACCTCTAGGACTTTACATTTGCTGTGAGTAGACCTTAGTGTGCCAGAAGAAGTTACTCATCGAAACCCAGCTTCCACCAGCAAAGAAAGGAGAAAGCCAAGTCAAGACCAGAGCCCCCTCTCTCCTGTAGATGGAGGATACATTCAGGAACTCAGAACCTGAAAGAGAGGTGAGCAGGGGGTTAGCAATGATATGGTTTGGATTTGTGTTCCCTCCCAAATTTCATGTCGAATTGTAATTCCCAATGTCGGAGGAGGGGCCTAGTGGGAGGTGATTTGATCATGGGGGCAGATTTCCCCTTTGGTGCTGTTCTCATGATAGTGAGTGAGTTCTCAGGAGATCTAATTGTTTGAAAGTGTGTGTCCCCTCCCCTTTCTCGTGATAGTGAGTTCTCAGGAGATCCAATTGTTTGAAAGTGTGTAGCCCCTCCCCCTCCTTGTGATAGTGAGTGAGTTCTCACGAGATCTAATTGATTGAAAGTGTGTGGCCCCTCCCCTTTCTCTCTCTTCCTCCTGCTCTGGCCATGTAAGATGTGCCTGCTTCCCCTTCACATTCCACCACAACAGTAAGTTTCCTGAGGCCTCCCCGCTGCCATGCTTCCTGTGCAGTCTGTGGAACTGTGAGCCAATTAAACCTCTTTTCTTTATGAATTAACCAGTTTCAGGTAGTTATTTATAGCAATGTGAGAATGGACTAACACAGCAATGATGTCTGACATTGCAAATAACTCATAGCTTCCCTTTCCCAGAGAGTGTGCTCCCACAGGAACATAATTCATCACATGGCACAATTCCTGTGCTCTCGATCTCATGGGCTGAGGATTCCGCCACAGCAATTCTTTCTTATGTTTAAACTCACCATTCTGTAACTTAATTTTAAAATTTATAATTGGTTTCTTGTTATCAAGGTAATATATTCTGTTACAGAAAATATAGGAAAGTGTAAAGTGACATAGAAAAAATAATAATCATTTGTAATCCTGCTACCTAGAGATAGCTTCTTGCTAAGATTTTAGTAAATTTCCTCTTAGTATTTTATGTAAAGAAGCAAATTGGGTGCTACTGCACACATAATTTGCATTGTGACTTTTTCCCCTCCATTTAATCTGTAATCTTAAATAACTTATCATATTATTGTTGTTTGAAATATTTAGAACATTAAAAATTTAGTATCACAAGCACAGTATAATGCATATCCATTCAGCCACATCTTTGTTTATTTAATTAGCTTTGCTTTATGAAAGATTTCAATAACTGGAATTGTGTGTGAAAGGCTCTAGAAGAGTTTTTTGCATGTGTTTGATTTTAATTTTTTCTGTTTGCTTTTAAATAATTAAGTATAAAGTCAACCAAGAATATTTTACATTCCTTTTGTTTTCTTTCTACACTTGCTAGGCCAGGAACTGAGGAAAGAAAACAGTACTTTGGACGAATTTGCTGAGGAACAACTTAAGATGGATTCTCTGACAATAGAAAATTGTGTCCAGCTACTCAGGGCACAGGTGGAGCTCCTTGGTGTAGACGGGCTATGGGGTTGTTTTGTCCATCCATGGGGAATATGTTTGTATCCTGTACAAAGTGTGGCCCTGTCACCTTGTCAGTGGCCTGAAGAGTTGTGGCATGAAGAGGGATGTTTTAAATTCTAATTGAAACTGACTTTCTGTGAGCCTGGATTCCGAGAGGTGCTGCCTGATTTCCATGCAGCTCGAGGCCCTTGGATGCTGCATTTTAGGGACAGACCCTCATTTTTGTTTCTCTGACTCATGGCTGGCGTTTCTTCCCCAAGCTGTGATGCTCCATGAGTCAGGCCCTTGTATGGTTAAGTGGTGGGTTCCCACAGGGGTCAGGAGGAGCCCCAGGGCTTGGAGGTCAGGACAATTTTTAAAGACAATCAGATTTTATCAATCAAATATTCATTTTCATGTATCTATAGTCATACAAAAACTGAAATGACACTCGTACATAAGTCCTCACAGTTTGGGAGGCTCAGGGAGAAGGAGACTCTGACTTGATACTCAGATGGCAGAGAGTGATGTCTGGGGAAGGTGGGCCTGCCCCTAATATGGCCAACTTCCACAATAGAGAGCTTCACTATGACAGAGGAAAGGAGAGGAGAAGAGGAGCTGGTGCTCCCAGAGGACCTCATGCAGGGCCAGCAGGGCCCCTCAACCTGAGATCTTCCGTGGGGTGGGGGAGTCAAAGGAGCATTTTATATTGTGCCCTAAAATACAACATCTTGGCCACAGTAAACTAGACATTCTCCAGTGCATTTGAAGAATGTTATGATCTGATTTATGAAATTGTTCTTATTGAGGAGATTATAAAGCACAATTACTATATATTATTTTCAGTGTTTTTCCCTCAATGGTCATCCTTAACCACAAATGATCTATTAAATCATAGAATCACAGCTTTTTGGAACTAATTGAGGTCTCAGAAATTAACTGAAATCTCTCACTTTATAGATGAAGAAAACAAACCCTGTGGAGATTTATTGCTTTGACTTTGACCAAGTTCCCTTGATTCATGTCTTTTTTCTCCTTGCATCTTCCTAGAATCCTCGACTGCATCCAATGCTGTGGACAATACTCTCCTGCAATGCCTGGTGCCCTCAGGGCCCGCATGGCCCTGATTCTTCTAATCTGCTGTTTTGTTGGCCAGCCCTCTCTCCTCCTCCAGGTCTATGGTTCCCTGTGGGCAGATCCTTGCCCTGTCCCTCTCTCCTTGTAACTCCAATAACCCGATCTAACTTCTTCCCCTCGACTATCAAACTTGTGCAGCGAGTTGACTCTGTATCTTCAGTATCCTGCTTGTAGCTTAGCTTCGAGCCCACAGTTTCGGATGCTTCCTGCATTAGGGCACCTGGTCAGCCATGCTGCAGACCCAGTGCAACCAAGAGGGGACTCTCCCCTCTGTGGACCTCTCCTCTGTGCAGCCACTCAGCCTCCTCCTTCCTCTCTGGCTGGAAACGTGAGACCCATCCTGGCCCAGGTGCTTCTTCATCATCATCAGAGCCTCATCGATTTCCGGAACCTCCATTTCTGTCCGCCTAGAGTTAGTAGTGGTGGCTCTTTCTTCATATTTCTGTTCCTTACCATCAGCCATGTTTTCTTAAAGTGTCATTCTTGGCACTTGGTCAGAGTAACTTGGGGCACTTATTCCAAATTCATATTCTCAGCCCAGAACTATTGAATCAGAATTTATGTGGGTAAGGCCTAGGAATGTACATTTAAAAAGAGTTTCTGCTGTAACAAAGTACTGAAACTTAGTGGTTTAAAACAACAATCATATGTTCTCTTACAGTTCTGTATGTCAGAATCCTGGCTGAGTCTCGTGGAGCTACAGATCAGGCCTTGGCAGGCTCGTTCCTTCCAGAGGCTGGAAGTGGGCTCTGCTTTCTTGCCTTTTCTGAGGTTGAGAGCTCCTGGGCTCCTGGTCCCTTCCTCTCTTCAGGCAGGAGTGGAGCCTTCTCAAACCTCTCTTTTCCTTTTTTCTTTCTTCTTCCTTTATTTCTTCTTTCTTTCTTTATTTCTCTCTTTCTCTTTCTTTCTTTTCTTTCTTTTTCTTTCTTTCCTTTTATTTTCTTTCTTCTTCCTTTTTAATTTCTTCTTTCTTACTTTCTCCCTTTCTTCCTTTCTTTCTTCTTTTTCTCTTTCTTCTTTCCCCTTCCCTTCCTTCCTTTCTTTTTCTTTCTTTCTCCTTTTTGTTCGTTCCTTCCTTCCTTCCTTCCTTCCTTCCTTCCTTCCTTCCTTCCTTCCTTCCTTCCTTCCTTCCTTCCTTCCGTTCTTTCTTTCTTTATTTTCTTTTCTCTCTTTCTTTCTTTCCTTATTTATTTATTGAGACAAGGTCTCACTCGTCTGCCCAGGCTGAAATGCAGCAGCACTATCTTGGCTCACTGCAGCCTCTGCTTCCCAGGCTCAAGTGATCTTCCCACTCCAGCCTCCCAAGTAGCTGGGACTACAGGTGTGCACCACCACACCTGGCTAATTTTTGTATTTTTCATAGAGATGCGGTTTCATCATGTTGGCCAGACTGGTCTTGAACTCCTGGCCTCAAGTCATCCACCCACCTCAGCCTGCCAAACTATTGGGATTACAGGCATGAGCCACCACACCCGGCTGCCCTCCTTTCATTGTCACATTGTCTCTGACTCTGACCCTCTGGCCTCCTTCATGTAAAGACCCTAGTGATGACATTGAGCCCGCCCAGATCATCCAGGATAACCCCTCCATCTCAAGATCCTTGACTTCAGCACCCCACAGTCCCTTTTGTAAGGTGACATATTTCCAAGTTTCAAGGATTAGGATGTGGGCATCTCTGGCGACCATTATTCTGTCTATCACACATTTTATGCACTAAATATGTAAACTTGGTAGCTTAGACCTTTTTCCCTCATGACTGGATTACTAAGTGGTTTCCTAACTGGGCTTGGCTTCTCTCTCCTCCTCTTCCAATTTCTTTATATGCTTCTGCCAGAATAGTCTTTTATAATCTACAAATTTCATCATGGTAAACTTAAAACCATTCTGTTGATGACCATGTTAAGTCCAGGTTGAGTGTCTGAATTTTGAAAGGATCATGATCTGAGCCATACTATACCTCCAGGTTTATGTCCTGAAGAACAGCTCCTCTACCATTGGGCCAGTCTTTGCACAGCTCCCCACAGGTGAGGAAGCACAGGAGAGGAGGCACAGGTGAGGAGGCACAGGTGACGAGATGTAGGTGAGGTGGCACAGGTGAGGAGGTGCAGGTGAGGAGGCACAGGTGAGGAAGTACAAGTGAGGAGGTGCAGGTGAGGAGGCACAGGTGAGGAGGTGCAGGTGAGGAGGTGCGAGTGAGGAGGCACAGGTGAGGAGGCGCAGGTGAGGAGGTGCAGGTGAGGAGGTGCAGGTGAAGAGGTGTGGGTGAGGAGGGGGGTGAGGAGGGCAAGGTGAGGAGATGCAGGTGAGGTGGCACAGGTGAGGAGGTGCAGGTGAGAAAGTACAGGTGAGGAGGCACAGGTGAGGAGGTGCAGGTGAGGACAGGTGGAGCAGGTGAGGAGGTGCAGGTGAGGAGGTGCAGGTGAGGAGGTGCAGGTGAGGAGGTGCAGATGAGGAAGTACAGGTGAGGAGGCGCAGGTGAGGAGGCACAGGTGAGCAGGCGCAGGTGAGGAGGCTCAGGTGAGGAGGCACAGGTGAGGAGGCACAGGTGAGGAGGCGCAGGTGAGGAGGTGCAGGTGAAGAGGTGTGGGTGAGGAGGTGCAGGTGAGGAAGCACAGGTGAGGAGATGCAGGTGAGGTGGCACAGGTGAGGAGGTGCAGGTGAGAAAGTACAGGTGAGGAGGCACAGGTGAGGAGGTGCACGTGAGGAGATGCAGATGAGGTGGCACAGGTGAGGAGGTGCAGGTGAGGAGGTGCAGGTGAGGAGGTGCAGGTGAGGAGGTGCAGATGAGGAAGTACAGGTGAGGAGGTGCAGGTGAGGAGGCGCAGGTGAGGAGGCACAGGTGAGGAGGCACAGGTGAGGAGGCGCAGGTGAGCAGGCACAGGTGAGGAGGCACAGGTGAGGAGGCACAGGTGAGGAAGTGCAGGTGAGGAGGCACAGGTGAGGAGGCACAGGTGAGGAGGCGCAGGTGAGGAGGTGCAGGTGATGAAGCACAGGTGCAGAAACACAGGTGAGGAGGCACCCACTGCTTCCTCCTGGGCTTTGGTTGACCACCTTCCTTTGGAAATATCCCTTCTCTCTCTCTGATTCTACAGAAAGCTGCCTCAGCTCAAGACCTGGAAAGGTGTCCCCTCTTGTGTGAAATATTCTGCTCAGCACCATGCTATTAATATCTAGATGCTAATTGTCCTACTGCAGTCTCTTTGTCTCTCTTACTATGCCCTGACTTCTCAGGCACCCGGGACCACATCTCATACTCGTCTTTAAGCCTTGCAATGGCCTGCACAGTGCTGGGCACTGGAGATTGTCGGTTAGTTTACAGTTAATGAATTAGAATATAACAAGTAACAGAATAGAAACATGTTGCATTGAGCTTTTACCTTCACTGATGACTCAAAAGTCCCATGATTTTGTAGTATTTCGAGACTAATATTATGAGCATTATTTTCATTTTTCTGGCAACTATTTTAGTTATGTCTAACAGAGCTCTGACTGGATAAGTATCAAGTCACAGAATATTTACCATGGGTTCATATGATAGAGTAAACCTGTGTCTTTCATGGGGGCTTTTAGCTAAAGTAGTAATTAGAGGTATCTGTAAGATGAACTCCTTAGCTAATTGTTAAGCTGTACCTGACGTCTCCCGTGAAGAAAAGCAGTTAGATCCTGACGTCTCCCATGGTGACGAGCAGTCAGATCCTGACGTCTCCCGTGATGACGAGCAGTCAGATCCTGAAGTCTCCCGTGGTGATGAGCAGTCAGATCCTGACATCTCCCATGGTGATGAGCAGTCAGATCCTGATGTCTGCCATGGTGACGAGCAGTCAGATCCTGAGGTATCCCGTGGTGACGAGAAGTCAGATCCTGACATCTCCTGTGATGATGAGCAGTCAGATCCTGAGGTCTCCCATGGTGACGAGCAGTCAGATCCTGATGTCTCCCATGGTGATGAGCAGTCAGATCCTGAAATCCATGACGGTGACTTGTGAAAGTCTAATGGATATTCTGCAATGATGTGTCATGAGCCTCTGTCATTTCACCTCACTATCATGCCACAAATTACTACTCACAGCTGAGAGTTTAGACCTAGAAGAGGCAATAAAATTGAGTTCAAATACTGTATTAAGGGACTTGTCCAAAATTACATAATTCTTTTGTGTAAAGGCCAAATTATACAAATCCTTAGATTCTGAGGTCAGAGTTTCTTTTCCTATAACATGTTTCTTCAAACATGGCTGTATCCACATTTCATATCGAGCAGATCCAGGAAAAATCATGAATAATCAGATAGCATGAGATGGACACAAGGTCATGAGCAATAAAGGGTTTGGATAGAGCTATTAGGAAGAGCATGAGGCCCACGAGCAGTAGGAACATTGTTCTATGTATTTATTGGCCTTGTAACTATGGTTTAGAAGTGGTGGGGATCCACAGAGGTATACCTACAGAAAGATTTAAAAGAAGTAAAACTCCCAGCCTCAATGTGGTATCATCCCACCCTCAGCACCACTGTCTCAATCTTGGCCTTCATACACATATCAAGAAACTTTCCACTTCTTGTAATACAAGAACTTTCAGATATTAAAAACCTTCTCGGGATTCTCTCTCCTCTGTGGCCTCTTCAGCACTGGTATTGGAAGCCATGGGTTGATGTTATCTGGCTGCGTGGCTTATCTAGAAATGTCTCCTGACCCCTGGTCCCTTTAGGTCTAAGTTAGCTTCTTCCCCTGTCCGCACTCATTCTCAGCTGGTCACTGACTATGTGATATCCTTTCTAATCACTTGGGTCCTATTACAAAACAAAATAACACAACATAGAGTAAATACGTTATCGGGATGGCTAACAATCATTGGACATTCTTCTCTGTTCATTACCTTGAAGAGCATAATGTTCTCTCCCAATTGGTTTTAAACAAAAAACTTTAGAATGTAATTATTGTAAGTACTCACTAATGTGGATTAAGTAGTTTTTGTATGTTGCCTTATCACCTTGTTTAAAGGGGCAATGTCTTTTCTTATTCTCAAGTTTTACAAAATATTGTACAGAGAACATGCTTAAAGAGTGTGTAATCCCAGCACTTTAAGAGGCTGAGGTAGGTGGATCGCGTGAGTCCAGAAGTTCAAGACCAGCCAGTGCAGCACCTGAGAGGAGCACAGAAACTAACACAACCCTCACACACCTCAGAGACACACACACAACACCTCACACACCTCAGGACACACACAAAACCCTCACACACCTCAGGACACAGACACACACACACACAACTCCTCACACACCTTAGGACTCACACAACCCCTCACACACCTCAGAGACCCACACACAACCACTCACACAGCTCAGGACACACACACAACACCTCACACACCTCAGGACACACACACAACCCTCACACACCTCAGGACACAGACACACACACACACACAACTCCTCACACACCTTAGGACTCACACAACCCCTCACACACCTCAGAGACCCACACACAACCACTCACACAGCTCAGGACACACATACGACCTCTCACACACCTCAGGACACACACACACACCCTCACATACCTCAGGACCCACGCTCCCACGGTTAGAATGACGCTCAGGGACAAAAGTGCCTCTGTTTCCTCTTTGTGGTAGTTTCTTCATTCATTCACGATGTCGGTGTTTACTTCCTATTGCATATGAGTCGCTTGCAGAACTATCCAGGTGACACACAGCATAAGCAGGCTCAGGGGAGCCCCAGGCGTGTTTTCCACAGGCAGCATGTGGATGAGAAGGACGGCCAGGGCTTAACAGGAACATGGACTCTCACTTGCTCCTCATTCTCTTCTCTATCACAAAAATCACATGACAATTCAGATGGAGATGCATTTTGTGAAATGATGAAAATTTGAATCCTGTCTCCTATTTAAACTCACATATAGTATTTTCCCTTCATAAAATTTTTTTTCTAGTAAATAATTTGACATCCAAAGAAAGTTTATATTTCTTCAAGAATGTATGCTCAGAGAAATGAGCTCTTACTACACGTTGCATATTGAAGACCTGACATTAAACACATGGTTTTTGTCAATGAGAAGGAGCAGTTTGACTCTTTCCAATGTCCTTTGTGGATGGATGGACTCCACTGACGAGCTTCTTTGTTCGAATTGCAGGTTTGGGATGTTTAATTATTGTCTGAGCTGGTCCAGTGGTGATGCTGAGTGAGACGCTCATGCCCCTTTAAGACAGAAAGTCCGTTGGAACCGTCTGCTGCTCCCTGGTCTCCGGAGATGAGGCGGGAGGACTTGGGGACAGCTGTGGGGACACGGCCCAGATGATCCGGTCCCGGCAGAAGTGACTGGCGGGGATCAGGTGAGGTGAGGAGGTCTGGTGTTGGGGCTGAGGGAAGGGGTCTTCCCTGGACTTAGGGGTCACGAGTTTGGGGTCAAGGACACTGGGGTATCCCCTCGGAGGAGCCGGAAAGAAGGAGCTTTCTCAGGGCTGAGGACCCGCCCACTTCTGCAGAAACTGTCCCAGTCCCCGCGGGGAGGGAACGGCCAGGGATCTGCTTACTGGTAGGTCTTGCTCTTGACCTTCGATTCGCTTCCATCAGGAGACTCTCTTTTAAACAGCATTTCTGCGATCACTGTGGTTAAACTTTCATTCTCAGATTTGTATACAGTGAGAAGTTTATGAATAAACAGTCGGGGTTTCGTTGGGGGTCACTCGCTTCCTAAAACCGAGAGGGTGAGGCAGGGGTGGGAGCGGCTTTCAGAGAGGACCCTGCAGGCTTGCAGGAAGCTTTGCGTTTTCTCTTTTGTTTTAGTTTTCTGATTGCTGTGAGCTTCCTAGAACTGGCGTAAATGCTGTACCTATAAAAAGGTTTCCTTTCCGCATCTTCACCACGAATTCACAAAAGACATCTGATGGTTCAAGACTCAGACTCAACACAGTGGAGGGCCTGCCTGTGTCCTCACACCCTGTGACCATCCTGCTCACACCCGCTCACACTCTGTGACCATTCCATTCACATCCCACTCACATCTGCTCACACCTGCTCACATCCTGCTCACACTCAGTCCCTCCATCTGTGGTGTCCTTTCACCTGGTCAGCTTCAGGCTTAGGAATGTGCACAGGACCCCAGGGGAGAAGAGCGGCTGTGGTTCCTGCTCGCCCTTAGGTTGAGGTTGGGGCCTTTAGCCCACACTGACAGGGTAGCGGGGGTCCATTCAGGCCTCACTGTAGCCCTTCACTTCCCAACCAGGATGCTGGAGGGTCAGGTCAGTTCGAGGCCGGGGAGCCTAAGGAGGGCACTCACCCGGAGGACCTGTGCCCAGGAGCTGGGGCTGCCATGGATAAGACAGCTGCAGCAGCTGAAGTCCCCAGGGAGGATGGCAATGCCAGGGAGATGCTGGTGAGCTGAGCTTTGTGGGGACAGTCAGTCTCACCAGGCGGGACCCTGATTCCTGTCCCTGAGGCCTGTCATTGGAGTTTCCCTCGCTGGGCCCCTGTAGGAATGATCCACCCTGGGATGCTGATGCTGAACTTCCTCTCTGAGGGGCACGTGGCTCTCTTCCTCTCTGCAACCTTCTCTCTTGGTGGATGGGAGGCAGGGCAGGGAGTTAAAGAAAATATTAACATTCCAGCTTTGCTCCTTTAATCCAGAAGAAGGCACCAGACTTTAAAAACTTCATTAAAGACAATCAGAAGGTTGATATGCCTCACATCATCCCAGCACCACCTTCCTCACCAGACCCTGTTGGACAGTGCTTGCTCTGATGAAAGTGCCACGGGTCCCTGTGGCCAGGGCCATGCAGTGCAGGGCTGTACCTTTATCACGATCCTGCTTATTATTCAAAAAAGGAAGGAAAAAGAATACCAGCCTCTTATTGCTGTAGTAGTGTTTTAACAAAGAATCATAATTCACTAACCATCTTTATCTGGTTATAGTATGTGGACTAACTCATAATAAACACTACTTAATAAGAATAAAGTTGTGGCCAGGCTTGGTAACTTATGCCTGTAATCCCAGCACTTTGGAAGACTGAGGTGGGTGGATTGTTTGAGCCCAGGAGTTTGAGATCAGTCTGGGCAACATGGTGAAACCCCATCTCTACTAAAAATGCAAAAGTTAGTCAAGTGTGGTGGTGCATGCCTATAGTCCCAGCTACATCAGAGGCTGAGGCAAAAGGATCACTTAAGCTCATGAAGTTGAAGCTTCAGTGAGCTGAGATCATGCCACTGCACTCCAGCCTGGGTGACAGAGTGAGACCCTGCCTCAAAAAAAAAAAAAAAAAAAAAAAAAGACTGTGATTGTCCTGTTTATCTCATCGGGTATCTTTTTGTCTAGAAAGATGTTGGTCTTACATCAGAGAGGGCTTAAGTATTTTGCATATGAATGTGCTGGTTGTGTGTCTGAGAGATTTTCTGGTGTTCTTTTCCCAATAACAGCCATTACAGCAGCAGATCACCAGACTCCACCAAGAGCTTGGGAGATAGGAGTCTCTGTGGGCTGATGTTCACAGAAAACTACAGAGTCAAATAGATGCTTTGAGGAAGCAGAACCTGGAGCTCTGAGAAGAGCTGAGAGGTCTGCAGTGGCAGAGTGGAAAGCCAGGAAGAAACCTGCAGTGTCCCGACACGCAGGGCAAGAATCACACACTCTGGTACCAAAAGTGCATTTCCGTTTTTGTGTCATTTGCATTATGTAAAAATAGCGTCCCCGTAAAGATGTGTATTTTATCGCTGGGTGACGTGGTATCACTCACGCTCCAGGTGGTGGGGGGTTCCCTATCTTTCCATCAACTCCATTTCCCATAAGTTCCCATGATTAAAGAACTGGATACATCAGGCCTCTCAGCTGGCGCCCCAGCAGGCAGAAGCACAGCCGCCTCCAGGCTGCGTGTCTCATGTCTAGAATTCTAAGACATCTCATAATGCTTCAGGGCAACAGCAGCAGACCCTTACTGTGGACTTTACATGGGCTAGGTAGGGAGCTTTACCGTCTTACTCTCTACGACGACCCTATGAAATGGATATTATTACTAACTCCATCACAGTCATGGGCTGGAGAATGCAGAGCTGGGATTCGAACCCAGACTGACTCCAGAGACAGCTCAGGGGCCTGGTGTCCTTCTGTTCATCCACTAGGACAGCTGTGTAGAATGCAATAGAGACCTGTTGAAATGGGAAAAGTTCCCTTGTCCTCCTCACAGGGTGTGCAATGCGGGTGTGGCTCACTTCCTCAGTGTCCCACTGCTCAAACCTCCAGGGGAGTGTAGAGACCGGCAGGCTGTGCAGCTCTGACCCCACGGCAGTGTCTGGGGTGAATGTTTACAGCTGAAGCCCCAGTGGGCGTGTGTTACAGGGCACTCTTTCAGTTTAGCTGTCTGTAGGCGGCTTGTGTTTATCAGCTCAGTTAGACCCTCTGCCCTATCACTAGGACAGAGGGCTTTCTGTATCCTGGGTTCTGGCTTTGGTGTACTGGAAAAATAAGATCACACGTGGGCTTGGAGGATGGGTGCAAGGATTTTTACTGGGTGATGGTAGCTCTCAGCAGACGGGGGAACCAGAATGGAGATGGAGTGGGAAGGTGGTTTTCCCATGGAGTTGGGCTATCCAGTGGCCGTGCTCTCCTCTGACTGCCCTGACCAATCTCGGTGTCTTTCAGCCAGTCAATGGCTTGCTGGCATCTGCCAATGTGTTCCTCTGGATGCCAGCCACTTGTGTCTCTGCCCGCTAGGGTCTTGGGATTTTTATAAGCACAAAATGGGAGTGTGGCAGGCCAGGGTGGTCTTGGGAAATGCAACATTTGGGCACAAAAGCAGAAATGCCTGGGTCCGTGGGCACAGGCCCGGGGGCGGAGCCCTAGCCAGGGACCTGCCCTTCTCTACCCAGGACTTTCCTGCCCCCGTCCTGTGTCACTGCCCTGCTCTCTCCCAAAGGAAGAACCAGCATTCTCACGCTGAAGTAGTCGGTGCCTCCCAGCACCCGCCTGCCTTTATAGAACACTGAGCTTTCGAGTTTGATCACATGTGGCTCAAAGACCGAGTCTGAGACAGTGTGAATGTGGCCAGTGTTACCGCTGCCTTGTCTGGGCTCTGTTTCCCGCACATGGGTCTAAACAGCTTGAATCATTAAAATTGTATGTACAGGTAACGACACATGGAACCATGTGAACACCCTCCAAATGTAAGTGGAGATGTTTCTCAGTGGGTTAAGAAAAGTACTAACATTTCCTATCTGCACTTATGATGTGAACTTTTAAATCGGTACTTCCAGGACTTAGAATAGTTCCTATACGGCACAGTGATTACAACACATGCACACACACACACACTCTCTCTCACACACATACACACACACGCGCACACACACGCATGCACACACGCACCCACGCACACACGCATGCACACGCATACACATGCACACACGTGCACGCATGCACACACGCACACACGTGCACACGCACGCACGCATGCACACACGCACACCCGCACATGCACGCACATACACACACGCACACATACACACACACACACGCACACACATACACACAGGCACCCACGGAATACATTCCAGAGGAGCTTGCTCTGTGGTCGGTTCTCCCAGCATGGCAAGAACAGCCACAAATTCCTCTACAAGAAATTACGGGAAATCTTGGAAGTTACTCCCACTCTTCGGGAGCTCTGCGAGAGCTTTTTCTCCATGGAGATGGCTTCTGTTGCCTCAGAAAGAAAGCGGGTTTAGCCTCTCAGCACAGCAAAGCACCCAGTCCTTCGGTGGAAGGAAGAGTGGAAGCCGGGCAGGCTGTTCCTCCGTCAGAGGTGGAGAGGGGGAAATTGCCACAAATACTGGCCGGGATTTTTGCCTTCTGTGGGGAGACCCTGAAAAGACCCACAGGGACTTTTTTCGCTGCGTATACCGTATGCCAGTTCCTAAAAAATAGCATCGACTGCCCCATTTGCATCATTGTATGTTGGTCGAAATGTTACCATAACAATAACCCCAAGAGTCAATGAAGTCTCATTCTGTCTTCACACTCCCTGCAGTTTTGATCATTCTCTTATTTCGAGACTGGAGTGTGGTGAATTTCCAAATGTTTTTGATTCTGTGCATCGTACTGGCCACCATGGGGCTGTTTATGAGAAGAGGATCTATGCTCACAAGAGCAGACCTGATCTGAAGAAAGAGGACAGGACATGTGAATCCCACACTTCAAATATGCGTAGGTGTATCTGTGTGTAGTCGCAGTTTTAGGGACTGAGTATCTAAAAGGCTGAGGCACGAGCACCCACGGAACGCGGGCACGGCTGTGTGGGTGAGCCACTCCGGATCTGGTATTAAGGGTTCATTCATAGCAACCCTCTCCCCTTCTCACTCCCTCCTCCTCCTCAGAGGGGACAGCGGGGGATAATTAGACATTCCAGACCGAACACACCTCCTCCCACCTGAAGGATCATGCTGTTCAGGTCAGTCTGCTGGTAACAGGGAAAGTTGGGAATTT